TCACAGAACCCAAGAATGGACTAACGGTTACCAAAGGGACAGGGACTGGGCAGGAGGGGTGGGAAGGGAGGGATATGTGCAAGGAAAAAGAAAGGGGGCCTTACAATTAGCATGTATAATGTGGGGGGGACATAGGGAGGGCTGTGCAACCCAGAGAAGACAAGTAGTGAGTCTACAGCATCTTACTACGCTGATGGACAGTGACTGTAATGGGGTTTGTGGGGGGGGGACTTGGTGAAGGGGGGAGTCTAGTAACCATAATGTTCTTCATGTAATTGTTGATTAATGATAATAAAATGAATTTTTAAAAAATCCACAAGAGCACCACAGCTTTGAAAATTATATCCAGAGAAGCATGTTGGGAGTCTAATTAAGTGACTATAGACAAATTGGTCCCGATAGTGGTGACTGTAGTCTTCACTACAGGTGAATTAGTTACATATGGCCCCTCATTGAGAAGACTCAATCCTCCTTACAAAAGAGGACATACACAGAGCTCTCTAAATACACTGGTCAATGTCCTGGACCTTACCTATTTCCAGACTTCTGTGTGCATTAGAATCAGGTGGGAGTTGGTGAAGTATGCACTTTCCCAGGCTTACCCCTCAGATTCCAATTCAGTGGTCTAGGGTGGAATCATGGAGTCTTCATTTTCATAAGGCTCCGGATAATGCTGATGTAGATGGCCCACGGTTTCATGCTGAGAAACCATGCACCAGGCCACCTGTCTACAAGATCATGGAAATAAAGCACCACGTACATTACCTGGCACATGGCTTGTGCTGAGGAAATAGCCCAAGAGAGGCCATGTGACTGGTTCCAGACCTGCACGAGACTTCTGATGCTAACTCAGTCCTATGCAGTCTTGAGTGTGACATCTAGATCTACCCAACTCTGTCCCCCAGCCTGCCCAGAATAAAATAACAGTAGCAGCATTTTCATTTTATAAGCACTTGGTTTTATTGCACAGAAGCAATTGAAAGTGGACTTCAGTGGAAAAGTGTGCCCTGGCATGATTCAGTGGCCAATGCCCAGCCCCACCTGCTCCAGCTCTCCCATGATAGAGAGCTCTGGGCAAGGGCTCGACCACTCCTTTGGAAAACAGAAGGCATTCAGGAATAGGTTAAGACATCCCAAGCATAATGTGTTTCTAACTGCTCATTCATTATTGCGGTCATCTGTCAGTTGCACATACAGGAAATAAATGCACTTATTTGGAAAGGAGGGGGCAGTTTTTACAGTCAAGTGTTTACATATGGCATTCGGCATATATCACATTCAACTATATAAGCTATCATAACATAATTGTCCATCGCCTGGGGAGGGATTGGGATGTGGGGCCAGGGGTTAGGACTGCCCTCTCCTGCTAACATATCGCTAACAGAAATTCCTGTTTGGTGAATCATAGGCCCCATCATCTAAGAGTTTCTTCTTACCGAAAGAAAAGAGAAATAAAGTGAAAATTCATCACGCCAATCCTTGAGCTCCCAGACCCTCCCGAGTTTCTTTGGCTGCTCTGGATGTTCTTTTTTCTCTGCTTTATTTCTCCCCCTTGGTGGCCTGGCCTTCTGTGGCCTTCTCTGGAGGCCTGCTGTCCTTCTGGTCTGTGCTGGAAGACTTCTCGGCTTTTTCCATCTTGGCCTTGGGGCCCTCCTTGCTGGGCTCTTCCTTGGCTTGGGCTTCCGTCTGGGGTTTCTCTGCGGCCTTCTCCTCCTTGGCGTCTTTTTTCTCAGTCGCTGCTGGCCTCTCTTCCTTCTTTGGCTTCTCCGGCTCCTTCTCGGCGGCTTTGCTGGGTTCTTTGGCCTTGGTGTCATCTGGCTCCTTCTTGGCCACCTCAGTCTTCTCTTTGGGTTTGGCCTCTTCCTTCACTTTGGCAGGAGCTTCCTTCTCTGGAGTTGCTGCTTTTTTCTTGTCTTCAGCCTCTTCCTTCTTGGCTTCAACTTTGGATTCTTTGGGCTTCTCCACAGCAGGTTCCCTCTCCTGGACCTCAGGTTTTGGAGACTCTTTCTTGGGCACTTCATCTTTCTTGCTGTACTTCTCCTCAGTTTTTGGTGTGGCTGGAACTTTCTCTTCCTCTACCTTCTTTGGGGGCTCTTTGGCTTTCACCTCCTGGGGTTTCTCTTCCTTCCTGGGGACTTCCTTCTCAGGAGACTTGACCTTCTCTGGGGACTTGACCTCCTTGACAGGGCTTTTTGCCTTTTCAGGGGACTTAATGTCTGCAGGAGACCTTACTTCCTCCTTTGCTGGGGTCTTGGCTTCTGGGGACTTCACATCAAGAGTCTTGGCCTTCTCTGGGGACTTGGCCTCGGCTGGGGACTTGGCCTCTTCCTTCACTGGGGACTTGGCCTTCTCTGGGGACTTGGCCTCTTCCTTCACTGGGGACTTGGCCTTCTCTGGGGACTTGGCCTCTTCCTTCACTGGGGACTTGGCCTTCTCTGGGGACTTGGCCTCTTCCTTCACTGGGGACTTGGCCTTCTCTGGGGACTTGGCCTCTTCCTTCACTGGGGACTTGGCCTTCTCTGGGGACTTGGCCTCTTCCTTCACTGGGGACTTGGCCTTCTCTGGGGACTTGGCCTCTTCCTTCACTGGGGATGCTACTTCTGCTGGCGGAGACTTTGCTTCTTCTTCTCCCCCTTCTGCTTCCTCCTCACCCTCCTCCTCTTTGGCCTCTTTCTCCTCTTCTTCAGTCACTTCTTCAGTCACTTGGATCTCCTCAGTCTGTTCCTCCACAATTACGGTTTCCTTCTCTGGCTTTTCTACCACCTTGATCTTCTCTTCACTTTTGACCTTTACGTGAGTAGACATGGTGGGGATTTGGGGGAGTCCTTCTGGAAGGGAGAAAGGACTCGGGCCAAAGCCAATTCGACACTCTTCACCCTCCAGGAGTTTTCTGCAGAATGGGTAAGGGAACATGTTACTATTAACTTAGAGCAGATTGTTGAGTTTGGGGTCTTCCTGTGTTACTCTGAAGTTCCACAACATCCAATGAAATGAACTTTGGTGGAGGAAGGAGTGGGTACTTTGAGACTGGAGAAACTCACTTAGCAAATCATCCCAGGGACCACCCAAAATATGCACCCCAATGGCACTGCTCTCATTTAACACAGCTAAGGCTGCACCTTAAGAAATCAAACAACTTTTCTTTCCCCTGAGACAGGGCCCTCCAAGGTGAGAGCCTACATTAACAGAAATTACATTTATTGTTCCTCAGATAAAAGGTTATTCGAGAGAAAGGTGGGAGCTTGAGCAAACAATTACACATTTATAAATTTGGATTTAAGAGGTCTTAGAATGTTCCCATTTGAATTTAAAGGGTCCCTGTCACCTATATTCTTATTCATTGGGTTTTAGGGATAGGTTGATGGCAGCAGTTTCTTTTTCCTACTTACTAATTCTATGACTTTATAGCTAAGCTACTCAAATCTGTTAAACCTCAGTTTCCTCGTTGTAAAAAGAGTCATAAGAGTCCCTACCTCCGAGGGTCATTTCAATGAAATAATGAATGAAAAAGACCTGGCCATGCCTGCCTGCCCCTGGAGACCAGTGTGTTGCAGAGTTAACAGCCTGTGTAACATGCAGCAATCTTGTTAAAATGCAAATTCTGATTCAGCAGGTCTGTGTGGGGCCTGAGAGTGGGCCTTTCTGAAGCTTGTTGATGCCGATTGTGCTGGTTCTTTTTTTTTTTAAATAATAGATAATAAGACTTCTAAGCACAATTCAGCCAAATGTTAGTGGGTTTTTTTTAATGGTATCATTAATATACAATTACATGAGCAACACTGTGGTTACTAGACTCCCCCCATTATCAAGTCCCCACCACATACCCCATTACAGTCACTGTCCATCAGCATAGTAAGATGCTGTAGAGTCACTACTTGTCTTCTCTGTGCTATACTGCCTTCCCCCCATTGTGCTGGTTCTTGAGTAGCAAGATTACAGACTAGAGCCAAGAGGTGAGAAGTGATGGGTCACCAGCCAGCAACTGGGACAGGTCCTCATGAGGTCAGCCCTGCTTCTCAGCAGGAAACTGTCAAGCTGGGAGGTCTCATGGTTACCATTTGCTGAGGGCTTTCTCAGTGGCAGCTCAGTGGTACCTAGATTAGCTCCTGAGCAGGATTAGCCCCTCCTCCAATGCCCTCATGGTGTGGGTACTGTTATCATCACCCACATTTATTTCCCCATTAAACAAATGGTCAGGGTGTTAAGAAACTAAGAGTTATAAGGCCCCTGACAACTCAAGTACCTCCTTTCCCTCCAAAGCAGGCCTCTGGTTGGCTGAATTTGGGGAGGGGCTAAGGAATTTTGACCCTCTAAGTCATTGTCAGAATGAAAATAAGTCACTCTTAAGATTTTTGTATCGCAGAAAGTAGAATGATGATTGCTAGGGCTGGGGGAAGAGAGAAAGATGGTGGGGAGTTACTGTTTAACGAACACAGGGCTTCAGTTTGTGCAGATGGAGAAAGTTCTGGAGATTGATGGTGGTGATGGCTGTACAACAATGTAACTGTACTTAATTCCACTGAACAGTATACTTAAAAATAGCTACATGGTAAGTTTATGTGTATATATTTTACCACAATAAAAATTTTTTTCCTCTAAGACAGGCAGGCTGTCTCTCTGAGGGCTTGAAACCTAAGGCCTAGCTTCTCAAAAGAACATACAGGCTCCCCACCACCTCACAGGCCCTGGCCTGCCTTACCTGTAGGCAGCAATCTCGATATCCAGAGCCATCTTGACATTGAGCAGGTCCTGGTACTCTCGGAGCTGGGCTGCCATCTCCCACTTTGTGTTCCTGAGCTCAGCGTCCAGCTGCTGGATGGCTTCCTGGGGAGGAGAGGTCACACGCATCACATGCTGGCTAGCGCCTGGCCCTTAGCAGTAGAGGACCTGGGGTGGACTCTAAAAACTCAAAGCAGTCCCAGCCAGCCAGGCTTGCTGTGGCCAACACCCACCCTGTCAAAGCTGCGGGGGCCCCATTGATAGATACGGAAACCACCTAGAGTAAAAGATCTTGCTGTGTGTATGCATACAGACTCAGCCCGGGGAGCAGTCTGTGATGAAACACACTAGCCACCAATGGCAATCATCACTGGTCAAGCTGGGAGGTGGGATGATGGGTGAATTTTTGCAGCTCTCCTAAGCTTAGAAAATGCTCACTGGAAACAGAGCCTTGTCTTCTTTGGCTCCCTATTGTTTCCCCAATGCTCCAATGTGCCTGCAACACAGTAAGGGCTCCGGAAGAATCTGTTATTGATGACTGAAACAATACACAGAAACACGTTAAATACACACTGGAGCTTCCTCCCCCGTCCCCAGGCCCACTGTTCATGGCTTTAAGTGAACCATTATGACTGATTTTTATTGTTTTGTTTTCTTCATTTTCTAATTCTTTCTACAATTGCCACATACTACTTGCATAAGTTCTTGAAAAGTGGTATTTTCTTTTGCCAGTTGTTTTTAATGGGAAGAATCTCCCAAGGCCTTCCCCAAGCTACTCACCCTCACAGACACTGGTTATTGTTTACCAAATGCCCACCGTGATCAGGACCTTGCTGAGCACATTCACACTCATCTCATGAGAAGTTTGCCTATCTTTTTAACCTTCACAGCTCTGCAAAGCAGGCATTTGTTTTTTTCATTGCATCGATGGAATGAATGCAGATTCATTCAGAGAGGCACATAATTTTTCAGGGGTCACACAGCTAGAAAGACACAGTGGTACCCCTAGTATGTCTGACTCCAAGTCCCCTGGTGTTAACTACCACAGCCCCACTTAGAGAGGGTCAGTGACTTGCTCAAGGTCACCCAACCAGGAGGCAGCCTGGCTCTCTGCCCTATCCCTGCTCACCTGGTAGGATGCAATGTCAGCCTGATGACGGTCCTCCAGCTCGGAGCGCTGCCTTTCCAGAGAGTCCTTGGTGCCTTTGAGCGCCTCCAGTTCTATGGTCCTGGACTGCAGCTGGCGGCGGTACTCAGTTATCTCCTCCTGTGCTGAGCGCATGGCGTCTGTGTTCACCTTGGCTGCCTCTGACAGTCGGTCCAACCGCACTGGGTGAGAAGAGGGCAGGGCACAGGATTAGACACAGCTGAATTTGACTTCCAGTGCCCCAGATCCAGAAGGTAACACACGAGTTGAGGACCACCTGGGTGTCAGGCACCATCTTGGATGCTTAACTCACCCTATCCTTTGTGATAGAAAAATGACTACTGTCCAAGGCTGCTCAGCTAGTAAATGGCACTGGGATTCAAATCTAGTATATATCTGGCTCTAAAGATCTGACTCTGTCTCCCCAAACTCAGAAAACCTGCAGGGCAGAGAAAGCCCCCTTTTCTAGCCCTAATTCCTGGCTCAGCTTCCCAGCAAGAGCTGGTAGTGCTGGGGGTTCATATGCAAAATGTGGCTCTTGGGGCTTCACTCTGAGCTTGTGGCCAAATAAGTTAATGAGACTGTGACCTTTGGAGGTATGAAGGTGCTGGGAGCCACCATGTGGCCACAGCCCCTTTTCTGCAGGTTTCTTCTGTGCAGAGCCCAAAGTCACTGCAGAGCCTGAGGCTCCTCTGTCCCTTCCTCCACCCAGTTGCACATTCTCTAGCACTGGAGCCCCTGTGCCAATGGCAGCCACACCCTGGCTCCTGAGAGCAATGGGTTGCTGGTTCCCAGAAGCCCTTATGGGGCCAGTGGAGTTCTAGAGACTGGTCTGTATCTCCTGAACGGAAACATCCTATATTCTGACATAGTGACACTCAGGCGTGAGTCTTGGGAATGCAAGAGGAAAAAGGGAAGCCAGGTGGGTGGGCTGGAAGTCCTGGGACGGTTGGCCTGTGTGGAGGGCAAGCCCCAAGAGAGCAGAGGGGTTTGCTCTGCGAGGAGTCTTGGTGCAGAGATGGGGGAGGGGAGCGTTCTGCCACTGCAGAGGAGAGGAAAAGGAAGGGGAACGGCTATGCATCCAAACCCCAGCCTTCTTATCTTTCTCTGCTAGTGCTGGCTAAGACTTAGAAACCATCCAGGTGGCTGAGGGTTCTTACCTATTGTGGATCACAGACCCATTGGAAAATCCTTGAAGCCTCTGTACCCTCTCCCAAGAATAATGCAAAAGTTTTACACAGTTTCAGGAAGAATCACTTTGCTTTGCAGAATAAGAAGCCCAGTTGGTTGACCCCACCTTTTGACACCAAAATAAATGAAAGCCAGGGAGGGCAAGTGTTGGCCAAGGTCACCCTGCAGCTGCTGCGGACTAGCTGACCCAGGGCAGCAATGGGCTGGGAGGCGGGAAGATTTGCGAGGCTCCCAGCTTCTCCGAAGGGGAGATGGGAAATTAAAAGTTTGACGGACCACCTCAGCTCTGGACACCACTTGGTGTGGTGATGGGCCCCAGGGAGAAAAGAGAATGACTCACCCTTTCTCTCAAGTAGTAGGAAAGATAGGGGAGGATGTCAGGAGAATGGGGTCCCCTGCAGTGTGCAGGAAAGGGGGATGGGCAGTGTTGGGTAAGGAAGGCATGTTACTTTGAAGGGCAAAGAGTCCCCAGTTCCTGTGGCTTAAGCCAGCACCGCTTTTGAGCTGTGCAGGGAACCTGATGGAGACGGGCCTCTGAGTGGGGTCACCTAACCTTGGTTAGCAGCGGGGACCTGGAGCTGAAGGATATATATAAGGGCCCTGGAAGAAAGCAGCCAAAGGAGAACCCAGAGGTGTGGGAAGTGGGCGACGTCCCACAAGAGGCCCAAAGTGAAACCGTTATTTAACTCAGGGGCATGCACTTTGCAGGAAAGCCATGAACCCCCAAGCCAACTCCAGCCGCGTCCTCTCGGGTCACGCTACCCTGCTCCTTACTACCCGACCGCAAGGGGCGCCCTGCCCCACACCCCCGCGCGCCTGCTAACCTCGGAACCATTCCTCCGACTGCAGCGTGCTGTGCACCGCGTGGCCTTCGAGTTGGGCGCGGATCTCCCGCAGCGCCGACGTCACGTCGCACTTCAGGGCGTCGCGCGCCTCTGCCTGTACCTGCGCCTGCGCGGCGCCACAGCCCTGGATCTGGCCAAGCAGCTCGCCCACCTCCTCCTGGTGGTGACGCCTTAGGTAGCCGCACTCCTCTTGCAGTGCTTGAGCCTTTTTCTGCAGGTCGACGCGGGCCGCCTCGGCCTCCTGGGCAAAACGCGCCAGTGCGCGCGCCGCCGCCTCAGCCTCCTCCCGCTGCCGGGCCTCGTCGTCTAGGCGCTGTCGCACGTGCGCAATGTCTTCCAGCAGGTGCTCCTGCTCCAGGCGCAGCTGGCCCCGCGCGGCTCCCAGGCGCAGCACGGCGCCGCGCATCTCCCGCACCTCGCGCTCGTACAGCTCGCCCATGGCGGCGCGGCCTGCGTGCTGCTGCCGCAGCGCCGCTGCCTCGCCCTCCAGGCTGCGGTTGTGAGCCTCGAGCTGCCGCACCTTGTCGATGTAGCCGGCGAACCGGTCGTTCAGCGCCTGCAGCTGCTCTTTTTCGCTGCGTGCCGCCGCCGCTGCCACCACGCAGCCCTCCGGTCCATTGCTCAGCGTGTCTAGTGAGTCGGTGCTTGAGGTGGCTGCCGCGCCGCGGAAGCGGGCGGGTGCGGCCGACACGGAGCTCACGGACGTCCGTGCCCACGAGTGGAAGCCGCTGGACGAGCCAGCCGCGGAGCGCGCGCCGCCCTTGCGAGCCAGCGCATAGTGCAGGCTGCCGCCTCCGTGAAGCGGCGCGAACGGGGCGCCCAGCAGCGCCTCTGCGCCGCTGAAGCTCATCATGGCCGAGTAGGTGCGGCCGCCGGCGGAGTGGGAGCCCAGGGCCGGGACCGGGCAGGCGGCACTGCGGCAGCACCGGGACGCCGGCCCTTTTATAGCAGCCCGGCCGGGTCCAGCCCCTTGGCAATTGGCGGGGGGTGGGGGCTGGGGGGTGGGGGGAGCGCGGGAGGAGGGCCCCGCCCTCTCTGCTTCCTCCCCCGCGGCCCGGGCCGGCAGGCTCCGCCGCAGTGAGAGGGGCGGGGCAGGGGGGACCGAGGAGTGACGGGGAGGTGATGCGGCGGTCAGAGAAGCCTCGTGAAGTCGGGTCACGGGGTAGAGGACTCCCGGAGTGGACCAGCGGGGACCCCTGGGTGCAGTTCGGAAGACCCTGCTTCTGTGTTCAGAATAAGAGAAGGGGCCCGAAATGGGGAGAGGACAGGAGACCTAACGGGAATATGGGCAGGGTGCCTCCAGGATGGAGCGGTGGGAGACTGTGGTTAATAGGAAGAGAGGATCCCTGAATGAAGGGCCACAAGATTTTTCTAATAGGCCCTTAGGATAGGGGATGCAGAGTGTCTGCGGCCAGCCCCCGAATACGGGAGAGAGAAGGTTATCCTCAGTGGAGCAATGGTGGATGCTACAAAGGGAAGAGATAGAAGACCCCTGAATGGGGCTACCCTGTTTCTCTAATAGGTAAGGGGCCACCAGGAGAGAGCTCAAGAAACTTTGCAGCCGGCTGCGGAATAGGGGAGGCGGATCTGGAGTTGGGAAGTGTGCCGAAGCCACCTTGAATTGGGAGTATGGGAGACACTGCAGATAATGGAGAGAGGGAAGTCCAGATGGGGGTGATCTGGTCTCTGCAGGAGGAGGCGGGGGACCCTACAGCTGGCCCCGCTCAGTGAAGGGGCATAGAGTCCCCTGAATGGACAGGAGGAATTGGACTAAATGTGAGGTCAGAGAACCCAGAGTGGGGTTGTTGTGGGGTCTAGGCATGAAGCTGGGAGAGCTGGTGGTGCCTGTGTGGGGTGGTGGGAAGTGACAGGTGTGCTGGAAGTCACTCAGGCCAGGATCTGCACGCTGAGGTCAGCATCAGTGTGCTGGCCAAATGACCTTGGACAAGTTGTGTCCCTCCACCCTTGGTTTTCCTATATAAAGAGGGGGGCCGTGCCCTGAGACAGGCTGCAACTTGAGACCCTCTGCTCCCCCAGCGGCTTCTATTTTGTGTGTGTGTGTGAGTGGGTGGGGGTCCTCTGGCTGAACTGGGGAAGGGAAACCTACATACAGCTGGGGGATATGGCAGCCACTTTCCCACAACTAGAAAGCCCGTCTTTCTCCCTCTCCCCTCCCTTTCTCCCCAGCTTTAATTTGTCACTTCTCTCCCCACCCCCTGAACAGACAAGTGGGTGCCATGATAGGCACCCCTTCTTGTCCCCAGAGAAGTGGTGGGATGCCTTCAGGGTACCAAAATCCCCCATAAGTCCTAATGGGTCAGGTAGAAAAAGGGGTCCCTGGGATTTGGGGTACCCTGAAACTGTTGGTGTTATTTGACTTTTTCTAGGGTTTTCATTCTCCTGTCAAATGCCCTGGGAGTGGGGTTGGCACTGCGGCTGTTGCTTCAGTACCAGGGACAGGGCCCGCCCCTTGTTAGGGAGAGAGGGGATAATCTCTGCCCTTTCCTTGGGGAAAAGGGAGGGAGGTACGCCATCTCCCCTTTGCCTGATCCCTGTGCTATGCAGACGGGGAACTGAGGAGGGGGTGGGTGGGTGATCCAGCAGGTCACCCCAAGAGCCAAAGCTTCTGCTAGGGTCCAGTCCCCTGTGTGCTGTGAAGTTCACATATACACCCAGACTGTCCTGCTTCTCCATTGGGAATGAAAAGGCCCCACAGTCCTTTGCCGGGAGCGAGCCTTAAGACTCCTTGGGAAGTCAGTGTAGACTCCCCTCCTACATCTGAATCTCGGTCCCCACTGCACTTTCAGTTTACACTGGTTTTCCTTTCAGTTTACACAGATTCCCACAGGAAAGCGCTCTGCCAGTTCTTCTCTCCTTGCCCTGCGTCTTAGCCCCACACCCCTGAGTCCAAGCAGACCCTCAGAGACGGGGAAGTGATGGTACTGTCCCTTTAAACACGTTTTACTGGAAGGAGACTGCGCTGGGGAGGAGGAAGGAGGGGGAAGGGAGTTTCTGGTTTTGCATGGAGAAGCAGAACATGATGAAGCATTTTCCCCCCCATTTAAAGATCCAGTCATGCTCCAGTTTGCAGGGGGCAGAGGAGCTCGTTTTCAGTTGGTGCTGGGAGGATGGAGGTGAGTTTCTGGTCTGAGACTTTTGAGAATGTCACTTGGGGGGCTTGAGCAGAGTCTCCATGCTCTCACATGGCTCCCCATTTACTTGTCATTTTGCTTGGAATTTTGCCATTAGAGCCTCGTTCCTCTGGGTTTTCTCAGTCATCTGCATAATGCGGATACATCCTCTGGGTGTGGTACGGCTGACAAGCAGCTAACAATAAGGAGGAGTGGTCAGGCCCAGTAAAAGAGGTGAGGGGGCCAAGAGGGTTTTCTGTCAAGGCCAGGGGCCACAACACAGGATCCCAGCTGCCTGTGGAATCCAGGCAAGAAGACCCAGGCATGATTCAAGTGGCTGGAAAAATAACATGAGGGCGGGAGTCCTGAGTTCAGTGCCTCAAAGAGCCCTTCAGGTGCTCCTAGGAAGCCATCCCTGACCTTCTTTACTCCCACATTTAGTTAATTGTACCCTCCACACTCCCCAGTGCTAATCCACAGCATCATAATGCTCTGTATTGTTATTGGTGAATGAATGAATGAATTCCATCAGTTCTCCAGCCTAACTTGTGGTCTCTGAGGTGACTAAAAGCTATTCTGCCCTGAGTCGTTGGGTCTCAAATCACTTTCACCTTCCTCCCCTCAATTCTTGCCATTTGGAAGTCAGTAGAACAATATATTCGTTCATTCACCCATCACATGTACTGAGCGCCTGCTGTGTGATAGGCACAAACAAAACAATGAGGTTACAGAAACCCCATGAACCTCTAAAATTGTCTCCCCAGGACAAGGATTCTCAAGTCCTTCCCAAATTCCAGTTCAGCATTTCCCAAGACACCTTCTTGAGGATGGAGATAAGTATTCCTCCAAAAAGGAGAAGAGAGGAGTTTCATGGTTCAAGGAGTTAAACAGGGCTCTTGAAGCAACTGTTGTAGTCTGGACTTGGCAGCAAGCACTGGAAACCCCTCAGAGGTGAGTCAAGTGTGCTGAGTTCCCCAAACTTGTTTGACCACAGGCCCCACTTGCCCCCAAGTGCTTCCATGTAACCCACACTGAAGAACCCATTCAGAATTGGGCTCCAGCCTCTGTTCTCCCTGGCCTGCCATCTGGACTCTCTGGGGCCTCAGCTTAGTGCTCTTTGGAAACAGGACTGCAGTGTGAAGGATAAAGCAGTACAGCTCTCTGTGAACATCGGCCACGCACTGCTGTCACTCACTCCATTCATTCAGTTTCTACAGTAGACCCTGTAGTGAGCACTGGGGACTCAAGAATGAGATCCTAGTGAAGGGCAGTCCCTGCTATGCATACAGCAGAGAACTCAGCCACCACTTTCTCTTTGGTACCTCCTCAAACCTCATCCCTATTTTACAGATGAATAAACTGAGGCCAGACTGAGGAAATGGATTGTGTGAGTTGACCTGGTGACAGAGTAGAGGTAAGCCCAGGCCTAACCTGGTGTAGAATGAAAGGGGTAGAGACCCATTTCTCTGGCACAATAGGGTCCCAGATGGCTTGAGGGTGGAGCAGTGGCCCCCAGAGAGGAAACAGGCAGCTGGCTGGGGTGGGGTCTGGCTTCTGACAGGTCGTCCAGCTGAGAGTTCCTGTGTCCTGTGACCCAAGTCGGCACATCCTTTATGTGGGAGCTCACTCCCAGCCTGGCCATCCTGCACCACAGGGTCACCTCTCTGAGGAACAGCATGTGACTCTCTGTTTGGGGGTACACCTAGTAAACTCATTCTCTTCCTGCTTTATTTTTCTCCCACACAACTTGGGGAAAATGGAAAATTCTACTATCTTGTCTCCTTCCATAGAATGTAAGCTTCATAAGGACAGGGATTTGTGTGTTTTATTCACTGTTTGTTTCCTCAGTGCTTGGAACAATGGCTGGCACACAGTAGGTGCTTAACAAGTAGCTGTCTGATGGCCCAGCAGCCCTGCCTGAGGGACTTGTGAACACCTGGACATTTCAGCACCGGGCATCTGGACAGCTCCAGACCTGCTGAACCCTTGGAGAGAGTCGGGGTGGGATGACTGTGGAAGGTGACTTTGAAAGTGTGACCCCTGCCCTCAAGCTTGGAGCCTCTCAGCCTGACCTGTGTGGTCACTTGTTGGGGTTCAAGCCCTGCCCGCTCCATTTCCTGCAAACCTCCCCCACCAAGTATTTCCTTTTCCTTTGTGAGATGAGCAATTATTTTGATGTATCTGTGAAGCACCCAGCATTTCTTTCTCTTTGTCTCTTTAGCCCCTTAGTATTTTTCTTTTCCCACACTCTCAGACTCTTCTTCCATTCCTCTCCTTTCTCCATTTCGTGCCCCTTCCCCTCTCCCACTGTCATATCCCTTCTTTGCTTTTGCCCCCAATTTCTCTGTTCTCTTTATCCCTTCCCTCCTCCCATCCTCCTCATCTCCCTCCTTAGAGATGTCCTATTTTTGCAGGATTTGATTTATAGTAAAGAGAGGCAGCCTCCCTCTCTCCCTACTCCCTTTATGAAGCGCACACGTGCGGTTTTACATACACCTCCGCCTGCTAATATCCTCCCACTGGCTTAACCACCAGGAGACCAGCCCTCAACAGATGAAAGCCCACATCAGGCCTGCCTGCCTGCCCACCAGTCTGCTGCCTGGGATGGCTCCGTGTGGGAGGGTGATTCTGCCACAAAGGTCAGAAGCTGGTGGGTGGATTTATAGATCCTCCCATCTCCCCTGCAGTTCCTTTTGTGGGCAATTACAGATGAATGATTTTGAGCTGTGGTTCCTGAGACCGGGAGTGAGATGATTCACTGGTCTTTCCTAAGGGACCAGTTCTAGCAACTGGGTGAGGCTTGCTGAGTTACGAGTGCTCTAGGGCTGTCATATTCTTATTACCTAGAGCAACAATAGGAATGAAGGCTCTCAGTTAAGGATGGGAGGTGGTGCCTCTGCTTTTGCACCTGGCCTCTATCATCTCTGCAGCCCTATGAAGTAGATACTGTTACTATCTCCACTTCATGGTTCAGGAAACAGAGACACAGAGAGGGTGTCCCAGGTTACACAGCCAGTAAGTGGTGGAGCTGGAATTCAAACTGGTCTGATGGGCTCCACAGCAATATACTCAACTACAAGACTGTGCTACCATCTCTCATGTTCAAAGAAAGGTCCAGCTGGGTACAAGATCGCTGCTTGTGGACCAAACATTTTCCTGGTTACATCACAGCTGACTGGGCTTTCCCCTAGGGGTTCCATCTGGCACCTTGGTGGAAGCAGAGGTGCTAGAGAACTGTCCTTGTCTTGGAGGAAGAAGGCTTCGCAGGCAGTACATCAGGAAGCTGAAATGACAGCTGACTCAGCTTTCCAGATGACCAGGCCTGAGAAGACAAATAAGTAGAAAACAGTCATGGAGCCATGATTGATGTTCACAGCAAAGATCTTAACTCATCAAGAAAACAATTTTGACAACTACTGTGTGATAAGCACCTGCCTGCTGTGTGCCAGCTACCTGCATGTGCAGCATCTGCCACAACTCCAGCAGTCTGCAGGGGCCTCCTCCAATACAAAGTAGGACATCTGGGTCACAGAAGGAAAGTGACCTGCCAAGGTCACAGAGCAAGGTGATGGAGGGGCTGTGGCTCACATCCAGGCCTCCTGCACTTCCCAGTATCCACAATGGCACTCAGAAAAAAAGGTTTCAGTGATGCTTCATCTCTTTACTCTGGAGAGGGCAGTCCACAGTACAAAGATTCTATGCCAACAAGGTTAAATTGTTGTGTTGGGACTTGAGGGTAGTACTATCAGTTGGATCAAAGTTCATCCTGATGGTCAATGTTGTCAGGTAAGTGAGGCATTACTGGGCTTTAAAGAGGTCCTACTGCTGTAAGTGGGCACAGCCCTGGGCTTGGTGGACATGAAGCTCATCTTGCTTGGGGGCTGCTGCACCCTTGCCTGTCCCTCTGCAGTCAGGCTGTGTGAAGATAGACAGGGCCTGGCAGCAACCTGGAACCACCTAAAAGCAGCAAATGCCAGCACAGGGAAGGAAAAAGTTTCTGAAACCTCTTCCTTGGCCCTGAGCCAGGCACCTGCCATGGATAGAAGACTACAGAAGCCCAGAGCAGACCTGGATCAGAGACTCGGTCACCTCCACTGGTAAGATCTTTGCTGGGCACCTGAACTGCCTTCTGGCTTCTGGGGAGGTTAATGGTGGAGGAAGGAGGAAACAAATCTGACCTTGAGGTCTTTGCTGTCTTAGGGGGTGTTAGTGGAGATAATGTGCTTTTAACTAGAATTTGAAAAATTCTTCAGTCTCAGTGTTGGTCACCAGCGCAAAGTCAAGGGCCCACCAGATCCTGAATCTGGATCTCTGGGAGAGGGGCCTGGGGATGGGCACTCTTGGCCAGTATCCTTAGAGTGACTGCCTCCAGATCTGTCCTCGACCAACCTTCCAAGTTAACTGATTAAGTTCTTGCTATTGCCTTTTACATACATTGCCTTGTTTAGGTGCCCCATCCACTCTCCGAGGCTTTGGTGAGAAAGTTGGGGTCTGGAGAGGTTAAATCACCTGCCAAGAACAAAACTTCACAGTCTGGCTCTAGAATGCCATCTTATCCCACCTGCCTACCTTTGCTCACGAGTGGACCAGCTGACCTCTCCCTGGTAGGCCTTCCTGCTTCATCTTCCTCCATGTCCTCCCTTATGGCTTGTCCCCTGATCATCACCTAAGTGTATGTCCTGGGACCTAGGTGATGACATGTGCTGGAGTCCCTCATGCCTGTACATTCTGACCTTTCCTAGACCATGAAGTGGTGGGTGCAGGGATTGGTCCTTGTAACTAGGGTCTGTCTGTGCAGTGGGTGAACAAATGGTGGGGACATAAACACTTGAGGCACAGATAGGACATAAGAATGTTTCCTCGTGGTGGCTTTGGAGGGGGCAGGAATGGACAGAGAAAGCTGGTATGCCCTCCTCTACCCATACCCATCTCTGCCCAAATCTCTTCCATCTTCCAGACCCATCTTCATGAAATTCTTGATTCTGCCATATTACCCTCTTGCACCCTGAGCATCTTGTCTAAATCTTTTTCCCTGCTGCAGTATTCACCCCACCCCCTTCACGTAACTCCTTGTTATCCTTCAGCTATTCCATGTTACCTCCTCCTTCAGGAGCTTTCTCTAACCCCCAAGGTTTTCATGGCCGCTTCCTTTGGGCTCCCATAGCCCCCCGCCTTTCCCTCACTCTAGCCCCAACTGTATTTTACAGGGCTATTTATTTGTCTGCTACCTGGTCTTTGAATTCCACAAGGGCAAGAGCCACCCTTATTCAGTGTTGCTTCCCTAGGACTTGGTACCAGAGTATTAGCTCAATGAAGTTCATTGAATGGATACATGTCCATCACTGGTGCCTTCCTATAAACTCTACTCCACTTTACACATCTGTCATCTTGAACTACATTTTGTAAGTCAGAGTCCAAGGAAGCTGGGCTATAGGGCCTGAGAGGCCATCAGTTGTACAGATGAGGAAACTGAGGACCAGCATCCGACCCCCAGTCAGGGCTTTCATTGCAGCTCACGGATGCTTGCTTCTGCTTCTGTGGCTGGAGCTCCTAAGGGCAGCAACCAAGACTTCGACCTTATTCCCTTGCTTCGCAGGTGCTTTGCCCATTATCACAATCACTGCCATTTACTGGCTGCTTACAAGGTGCCAGCCCCTTTATATGTCTTTTTCTCAGTTTGCAATTCTCACATATACACAGGTAAGGAAGGTACACTTATCCCTATTTACGAGGAACAAACCGAGGCAAGTTAAGTAATTTGCATATTTATCAGTGTGTCTTCTAGTTTCTTTCACAGATTTATCCAGGTCCCATTGGAGTCTCACAAGACTTGTCATCAAACCCATCAAATTTTCCAGAGGAAGAAATCGAGGCTCCAGAACTATAGAATCCGTTTCCGTGCCTCGGAATACTAGGCCGGCTCCCTGACTTGACAGAATCGCGCCGGCAGCAGCGCCCCCTGCAGGCGGCGGCCCCTACGCCACGGTCAGCCCCGCCCCTCGGCGCCGGAAGCGCCCGAACGCGCCCTCCGGCCTCCGAAGATTGTCGAGCGCGCTCCTCCAAAGTCCGCACTTGGAGAAGCCGAGCGCCCTACCTTTCGCCGGGACTCGACTTCCCGGCAGCCTTGGCGGCGTCGGGTCAGAGGCATCGCCCGGGACCGCGGAAAGGTGGCAGCGGCTTTGGCTGCCGTCGTTTCCTTTGTTGTGAGTAACGTCCGACAGAAGCCGTGGGGCGTCCGGGAGGGCCAGACGCACTGCCCGAGCAGAGCTGAGGAGAGACCCTGGAAGGGGCGTGGCTATCGCTCTTCCCGGGGAGCCCGGCTCCGGGGAAGGGGATCTTCCCTGTGGGACGCCGGCGCGTCTAGCCCTGAGACTGTCCCGGGCGTCTGGGCGTCTGTGGGCTGCTGCCTCAGTTTCTGCCGCTGTAAAATGGGGCTCTCCCAAGACACTTCCACAGTTTCATCCCCCAGTTTCAGAATCCCGTCCCCAGTCAGGCACTGAGAAATCAGAGCGGGTCAGGCTCGCTCGTGCGGATGCGCAGAGCTGTGGCATCGCCTTCCCGTGCTGCATAAGCACTCCCGAGACTGGAGAGGCCTGGAGGTTGGGGGCTAGCCCCTTCCCGGTGGACCAGACGCCCTGCAGCCTGGAATGTAGCAGCCATGTCTCATGGCTGTGAAGGTCACACGTGTTATTTCCACCTCACCACAGTTCTGTCTGGTAGGTACTGTTCGTGCCATCCTCAGTTGACAAGCCTTTGAGGCTGAGTCACAGTAGTAATCAAGATCACCCAGCTAACAAGTGGCTGAGGTCCACAGTCTTACCCACTATACTGTACGGAAACATTTGACCTGGAAGGCAGAATGGCAGAAGCGAAAAATGACAAGGGCCTATCAGTACTAATTAACATATTCCATGAATTGAGCACTTAATATATGTTGGGTGCTGGCCCAAGGGCCAACATCATTTATATGCTTGACAGTGACTTATACTATAGTTTTGTTATTTCTACTTCATAGATGAGGCTCAGAAAGAGAGGTCACCTCATATGTCTTAGGTCACCCTTTGTTGATGGTGCACTCGGCCTGCCTACATAACACTCTTAAGAAGACCTCATTCTTCTCTGAGTCTCAGCTTCCCTGATGTAAAATGAGAAGCTTGGACTGGAAGGCCCTAGACATTGTTCCCTAAGCTCACATTCTTTGATTTTAAGGATTACTGGCATGATCTGGAGTCCTGGGTTTGTCCCTAGTTATCTGTGACTTGGGAACGCCTTGGCCAAGTCCCCTACAGCTCTGTGCCTCAGTTTCCCCCTTTGTAAAACGTGGAAACCAGAGAATGCCGATTGCGAGGGCATCTTCCAGCTTTAATATTTTATGACTGCAGATGAAGAAACAAGCTAAGGTTCAGCAAACCATGCACTGCCTGAGAATTTCTAATGCATGTGAATCTGCCATCTCATGCAGAGTGTTCCTGGTGCTTGGCTTCCAAGGACAGATACCCTCCATGGTTGAAAGGAAACAGCCACCTCCAAGCAGTCAGCAGGAACTTGGAGGGGAAGGCTTACTCCCCTAATGGTTCAGGGCCCACCCCTGAGGTCAGACAACCCATGGCTGACTGCCAGCACTCCCCCTGCCCAACAGGGCACCTCAGGCAAGCTACTTCTCCCTCCTGTGCCTCAGTTTCTGCATCTGTAAAATGGGGTGCCAACAGAGCCAGCCTCATTTGAGATTTGGTGGGGAAAAAAATACACAAAAAGCCTAACATTGTATCTGGCCTAGAAAACCCTCAGTAAACACAACTGTCTTGGATTGTGTCTGCAGCACTTTTCTGGGCACTGGGAGAGCTCCTGAGCCTTGGCCCTGCCCACTCTCTGCCCCCTGGGACCAAGATGGTGTCAGGGGCAAGAGAGGAGAGGCAGAGTCCTGCTGAGTCAGTGGGGGACACAGATGTGGGATGCAGGCAGCCTTTACCCTGAGGCTGCTGGCACGGGCTGTCAGGCCTGAGTGGCTGAAGTAGCATTAACAGGCATTCCAGCACGTCCCTGGCTGGCAGCAGCCCCTGGGAGGGGCAGCAGCCAAGTGAGGGTGGAGGAGGTGAAGGAATGGTATCAGAACTGCCGCATCGTGTACCAGGGGCTGCAACTCAGTGCAGGTTCATGGTTCAAGACGAGACAGCTGAAGTGTGTGCTGTGCTTCAGGCTTTTATGAGGTGCATTCACATCTGTTTGTGTCCCCAGGACAGGGCTGTGTGGCACAGTACAGGGTTCTCAACCTGCAGTAGAGACTCCACTCCTGGGGGCCTGTGGGTAAGCTATGGGGCCCAGGAGCTCTCAAAACTGCATACGGGATTGTGTGGGTGTTTCTCCAAGAGTCATAAGACCCCCAAATGTCAGATTCTGGATTTGGGAATCAGAAGAACTGGTATAGGGCCCTCTGATGCTAGTAAATGGCAGCCAGTGATTCTGGGCAGGTGGTTGAACGGCCTGCCCCCACCCCTCCAACCCCATTCCTCCCTTCCTTCCCTTTCGTCACCCATTCAACACGTTTCCTAAGACCTGTTCCAGGCCCGGGCCTGCACTGGAAGTACAGCCACAAAGAAGACAGCTGTCTCAGCTCCCCTCGGCAATAAGTAAGGAGCTAATTTGATAAGGGCTGAGAAAGGGGCAAGTCCAGGGGCTATGGGAGCCACAGATTGGGGCTCCTGACCCAGCGTGTGGTGGGGGGCAAGTTGGGGAGTCAGCAGGTGAGGCCTGCCTCAGTGCCTATGGCCTTGGGCAGATCACTAGCTTTGCTGGGCCTCACTTTATACCCTTTCATCTGGGCCTGATGGCCCCACTTTCAGGATGAGGTGAGGGTGGAGGAGGTGAGGGTGTCCTGTTTGGAAGAGGCTTGGGGGAAGAGCTTTGGTGTGGGTCGGGAATCCTGCCCTGCTCCTCATTCTGTCTCCTCACTGGATGACCCCAGGTACCTCCCCAGGGCCTCAGCTTCCCACCCACACAGAGAGGGAGCCAGGCTGCCCAGGCTCCTTTCTTCAGTCTCAGGAAAAGCACATGGCAATGGAAGTGCCGAGAGAGATGAGCAATCAGGGAGAACTTCCCAAAGAAGGTGGCATAGCTGAAGCCTGAAGGATAGAGGGCAGGGATCATGAAAGAACTGGGTGGTGTTCCCAGGCCTGGGATTTTTTGGCAGAGCTGGGTGTGATGGAGGAATTTGGGGTCAGGTAGAAGGGAGGGGAGAAGTGGGGTAGTCAGTGAGCACCAGAACACACGAAGTGGTGGAATTAATGATGAAGAGCAGGGCTTCTGGGATCAGGTGGGCCTGGGTGTCCGTCCTACCCATCACTGCTTCATTGAGGGCCCTCTGTAAGGTTCTCACCTCTCTAAGCCTCAGTTACTTTCATCTGGTAAGTGGGGGTGAAGATAACAACCCATGCAAAAGGTTGTTGGATATGTTATGACACCATTTATGTGAAATATCTAGAATAAGGCAAATCTGTAGAGAAGAAAGAGATTAGTGGATGCATAGACCTGGAGGGTGGAGGGGATGGAGGGATGATAGTTAAAAGAGTACAGGGTTTCTTTTGGGGGATGAAAATATTCTAAAATTGATTGTGGTGATGGTTCTACCCCTCTGAAAACCATTGCGTGTACACACTGAATGGTTGAGTTGTATGGTATGTGAATTGTATGTCAGTAAACTGTCACAGAAAACCCCACACAGGTGGTTGGAGTGGTTAGAGGAGTTGCTATATGCTGGGCACATTGTAAGTGCTCCCTAAATATTAGCTATCACTGGCATCACTCACTTACTGCTGGCAGCTAGTCCAGCCCTCCCTCAGAGAGGACTGCTAGGCTTCCGGAGGAGGGGAAGGCGCCTGTCCACTGGCTGGCGGGGGCCCCCAGCAAGGCACATAACCTCTCTGGGCCTCAGTTTTCTCATCTGTGAAATGGGGATGATTTCCCAGGCCTTGGCCACCTCTTGAGGCCCTGTGAGGCTCGGATCAGACCACGGGTGTTTCTAGGTACAGAGGCAAGTGTATCTTGCACAGGTCAAATGTGCCTCCTGCATGGAAGGGTGTTCCCTCTTTCTGCCTGGAGTGAGCTGGCTTCACACACCCACTTATCTTGTGTACTGAGCGCAGACTATGTTTAAGGCATCAGGCAGAGGATGGTGCAGGGACCACAACAAACAGCCCTGCCCACCTGGAGCTCAGAGCCCAGGAGGAGGGGCACACAAGGGATCCTAGGGTAGGATGGAGCAGGCCAGCTCTGCAGGCCATCATGTCATCATTCTGGGCCTCAGTTACCTCATCTGTAAAGTGGGGAGAAATAGTGCCTCCCTTGTGGGGCTATGCCGAGGCTCACTGTGACTGGCCCAGCATCTACACTTAATACACAGAAACCATCATTGTCATTATTGCCTAATATCATGATTATCATCCATCAGGTGCCTTTTGTCACTCCACCTCAGCTATCTTGTCACACTGTGAATTGTGTCAGGGCTACATCTTCCCCGGCCCTACCCCACCCCATCAACCCTCCTAGGGCAGGGTCTGGGTGCCCCCTTCTGGCAATGCCCTTCTGAGACCCAGCCCCAGGGCTGAAAAGGCTTCTCCTCCATGCAGCCCCCTTCCTGCCCACTTTCTCCAGGCCCAGCCACTAAAGGCAAGACCCCTGAGCCTGCAGGCCTGACCAGGCAGGGAACTGAAACCTCCTTCTGCCCTCCTTCCACTCAGCTATGGGGTAAGGTTACGAGGCCACCCCGCAGTGGGCCTTTCTGGGCATTCTGCTCTCACTGCAGCTGGAGCTGGAACAGGCTGAGGCCAAGTCATGAGCTCCTCCCACACGCCTCCATCTGCAGAGCTGCAGTCCAGGCTGGGGCCTTGGCCAGGGCCACGGCAGCCTCCGCAGCATCCCGTTGCTGTGGTAAACAGAGGGCGTAGATGGTGGGGTGGGGTGCTTCCCCCGCTGGGTGCTAGTCCTCGCTCTGGACCTGCAGCCATGATACCTATTTTGCGGCTGCCTTGGGGCTCCCTCCGACAAAAACTGCCTGCAAAGCACTCCTTGTGTCTTTTTCTCTGGCTCCCATTTGCAGACAGGGTGACTGTCTCAGGCCACAGCCTGCCAGGCTTCCCTGGGCAGCCATGGTAATGGGGCAGGTTGTGCGTCGAGAGGAAGGACAAGGTCCCATTCCAGCTCTGCCATG